GAAAGAGATCAAATCCTCAAATTGCTTTATAATTTGCTTTTATTTCACTTATCCATAACTCTTAATGTGAATGTCTTTCCAGATAAGAACACAGAGATCTAACTTGCTCTTTATGAGCAGAAGACTATGTATGATTCAACCATTCTGTTGAAGAACGTGAATATTGCTTCAGATATTCTTGCTATTATAAATACTACTGCAATTAACATTTTAAAATCTTTGATACATATTCCCAGCTTGTTCTCCAGCAATTACCATTTTGCATTCCCACAAGCATTGAACATTATTTTTGATCTTGTGCCAATCTAAAAGGCAAAAATGGTATCTTGTTGTTTTAATTTGCATTTCTTTGATTACTAATTAGATTGAACTTTCTCATATGTTTATTGGTCAATTTGCATTTCTTCTTGTGTGAAATGCCTGCCTGGGTCTTTTATGTACTTTTCTACTTATGTGTTTCTTTCTTGATTAAATAGATTATTTAACTATCATGCGTTGCAAATATTTTTGCTCAGTTACCCTTGGCTTGCGATTTTTAATTATTGGTCTTTAGAACTTTAGAGGCATTAAATAATTTTTATGTTAAATACTTCAGTCTCTGTATGTCTGCCTTTAGTGTCATGCTTAGGGCTTTACTAATTTATGGTTACATAAAGTTGTTTCTGATCTTGAAACATTGGTATATATTATGAGAGAGAGCTCTATTTTTTTCTTTTTCAAAAGATTAACCAGTTCTAAATCACCTTTTGCTTAATGTTTCCCATTTCAGTGAAAAATATTGAAATATTTCCTGCAGAAATGGGAAATAGTTCATAATGGCTTAGATGCCACATTATCACATTAGTGACTTTTTAAATGTATAGTGTCTTTGGTCCATACATTTATCTATTCCTAGATATTTTAATTATTATAGTTTTATAAAATATTATATCTGATTGGGCATGTACTCTCCCTCATTAAAGCATTTCTTCATCAATGTATTACATTTACGCTAAGAAAATTTACAAATCATTTGATTAGGTTCCTTGACCCTTATATCAAAGAAAATACCATTGAGATTTTCATTGGGATTGCTTTCTAAGTAGTTATTAGTAATGAGAATACTGGCATAGAAAATGTATAATCCTGGAACTTGGTTTGTCTTCATTTATTTGTCTGTCCCATACAAGTCCAGGACTATTTTGTTAAATTTGTTCCTAGGTATAATATACTAATTGGCTTTGCTCCATTATGCTTCTTCCTAAGTATTAATATATTTGTAACTGGCTTCCTTACTAGGTATCCTTATTCATTCTAATGATTTTAAGTTGGTTCTTGGGGATTTTGTAAATATATCATCTATAAATAATTATAGTTTCAGTTCTCCCTCTATCCCTTTCATCACCAATTTTTGCCTTATTTTTCTTATGTGTATTATTGGCCAGAACATCCAGAATAATTGGAAATAGTAAGAGTGATAATAGATAATAGGTATAATAATATAATTCTTCTGGTTTTCACTACTAAGCTTGATCTTGGCTGTTGGCTTAGTATCTTTAATTTGCAGTTTATAAGAGGGTTTAAATTGGAATAGTCATTGAATTGTTTCCTGCCAAAGTAAAGCATATACATGGTAAAGAAGTTAGACTATAATACAGGACTTCAAGTAAAAAGAGGAGTTTATTTCATTCTTTCAATTTTTTTATTTCCCTCAATGATTCTTTGTTTTCTTCCTTATTTCCTTTCTTCCTTCCAGTTCTTATTTGTTGTGTGTTTGACTACATAAAAATATTATGAGACACATGGTAATAACCAATATTATAAGATGAGCCTGGAAGTTATTTGAAACATATACATATATAATAAAGGACTAATTTCAAGAATATGTGAAAGACTCCTACAAAAGTAAGAAATAGATAAGCAGTCAAACAGAAATAGAGAAATGCACGTGGAGAGGCAACTGTTTTAAGAAATACAAATGAAAAATAAATGAATGAAAATATATTCAACTTTACTGTCTAACTGAATTTTCAAAAAGTACCCACAGATATAATCAAAGATACAAATTCCTTTAAAGTAGGTAAGTGATACAACTTACCTGTACACATTCAGCTATATGAAGCAGACACCCAGTAGCGTGCCTATATGGAAGGCAAGCTTTGTTACACTTCTGGGGCACCATTTACCATAGAGTCTATTACATCCATAGATTGAGGATTTGTCAGGACCTTTGATGAGCCTACCTCCTGTCATTCTTGATGGTAGAAGAAGCATGTAAGATCTCCCTGGTCCCTCCCAAGTGTTCTAGAGACCCTGGGCATAGGCCTACCTGCTCAACAAGTGAAAATAACTTGTAATAAGCTCCCCAGGTACAAGGTACAAGTATATTACTGATGATTTAGTGTTAAAGAGCTTGGTTTCCTTGTATATAAGACACACTGTCCACCTTTTAGTTTCTAATTTCTTCCCTTAAATTAGGGAAAGGAACTAGGGCTCCTTGAGGAATCCAGATGAAATGCTATGATGTTAGAAGAAAGAAAGACTATTTTCAGTGACATCTGCAGGTTGTAACAGAAGCTGATTGGAGGAATTCTGTCAGTCTGTAACAATTTGAAGTATTCAAGTGGAAAGACAAGAATTGTAGTTAATTGAAAAGTTAAGTCTATAAAGGGACATAATTTCATTATATGATCAAAGGAAATAAACAGTCTAAAATATGCTAAAGCAGCATTACTAAGTGTGGTCTAGGACCCTTTCAGGAAGTTAGTGAGGTCAAAGCTGTTTTCATAATAATGCTAAGAACGATTTGCTATTTTCACTGTCATATTCTTCCATGGATACCGTGGCATTTTCCAGAGCCTGTGAGATATATGGTGACATCCTTGCCCCGCTGGAGAGCACACTTTGTATTCTTGTATTTTAAGAAGTCTTGGTTTTAATACCTAATACAATAAATATTGATAGATACAGATAAAAATTAGTTGGGGTCCTCAGTCTCCAAGAATGTAAAGAGGTTCTGAGACCAAAGAGTTTGGAGAAAAGTCAGTCTTGGCGATGTAGGCTAATCCATTACAGAAAAAGAGTGGGGTGAATCGCTCAGTTCATTAAGGCACATGGAACCTTTTGGCTTGCATAGTACTTTCAGTCTATTGATTAAGTGATGATTGTAGTAACAGTGATGATTGTTTGGTTTTCTAAAACATAAAAATGTTTCTCACTGAACCGATACTTTGAGGGTATTGATTTTTAGGTCACTGGGCAACAAGAGGAGTGGCCTATATGCAGACCTGATGCCAGGGTTTTCTGAGAACACAATAGGCCTGAACAACTGAATTTGGGTTTACCTTAGCTCACCATCATTAACAGGAGAAAAGGGTTGGTTTCTTCCTTCCTTTGGTGGTATGTGTTGTGAGCAATTGGGCTATTTCTTGCAGGATGTTTGGGAGAAGCCCAAACACTCCTTGAGAATGCAGAGAAGAAACTTCTTACAGCACCTGAAAGGCCTTGTTCGGGTCTGAAAGATCATGCCTGCTTAAGGGTGAAGGAAGCTGAGAGGGGGCTCCTGCTTTCTGTGGCTGGCTTAGCCTCGTATTTCTGCATTTGTTTTTATTGACTTGTTTTTCTCCTATAGGGATCATATTTTTCTGCTTTTTACATTCATAGTGATTTTCAAATGAATAAAAGATATTTTGAGTTTTATAGAGTTGCTGGATATTTTTGGATTCATATAAATATTCTTGTGCTTTGTTCTAGGATGTAGTTAAGTTACTTGGAACACTTTAATCCTTTAAGGCTTGCTTCCTTAGATGGAATCAGAGCAGTCTTTAGCTCACTAATTAGACGATACACTTTTAAGTATTCTCCCCAATGTCCCAAGAATTTCAATATTTTCCCACTTTGGCTGGTAGGAATGCCTGTGTGATCTCTGAGCATTGCTCTCTCTGATCTTTCAGGTAGTTCTTTCCCTGGCCTTGCACACATGCCAATTCCATACTCAGCTGAAGGTTCAAGGGAGATCTCTGCACAAGTACAGGATGCTCTTTCTGTGCAACTCGTTCCTCTATGGGAATTTGTCCAGTGAACTCCAGTTACATCGGCTTTCCTGTATTCCGATTTGTCCCCAATTCAGGACAGTCAGGCTACGCCAGGGTTTCCCACCTGCCCTGTGGCCTGGAAGCCCCATCCACACAGCAGGCTGGAGCAATCATATGGCTCCTTTGTTTACTCTTTTTAAGGAACCACTGTCCTGTGCTGATGTCTGAAAGCTGATGTTTCCTGTCTTGTGTGATCTTTTAGTTGATTCAGGCAGAATGTAAAACCAGTCCCTGGGAGTCCATGTTGGCCAGAGAGGAGGTTTTGGAAGTATTTTTTTTAAAAGCATAAAGCACTCCTACTTTGAAAGTCCATTGAAATGATCCTTTCCCACAGCAAATATTTTTGGACCTGTGGTTAAATATAACCAGTAAAATTTCATGCCATTCAAAAAAAAAGTGGCAATATTCAGGGGTCACTTTCCTTCTAGATTGGCAGGAATTCATCATGTTTTCTATTCATAGTAATCTTACTCTGCTTCCTTTTTTGCAGGTGTTAGTTTATCTGGAATGTTCAGTTCCTTTCCTTTACAAGTTGCCTTCAATAACCTGTCATTTACTCACTTCTAGTGAATTCTATTCTTTCTGTTACTTTGTCCCCATTAGTACCAAGAAGGCTCTCACATGATACTAATTGTTGTTACTGAAATGTTGCTTTGTTTATTTTCTTGGAATTCTTCATACATTCAATACCCTCAGATTCTGAATGTCTTAAGCCTTGTGTAGCAGGGATTCTCTTCCATTTTTCTACTTTTTCAATTCCTGGTAAAATAGACCCAATTCTTTTCTTTCCTCCCCAGCTCATACAGGGATTGACATAAAGCACAGTCAGTAAAATTACAAATGATTTCTGGGTTTTTGCTATTTGTTGTGCTTACATATAAGATATGGACACAGTGGTTTTGACTGGAAAATTTAATTTCTTTTCAGGTGATCCTAAGTATGATTTTCTGTGTAAAGAAGAACTCGTTGAACTCAAGGACATATTTTCTGTCAAACTGAAACGGCGTTGTTCTACTAAACAACAGAGAAATGGAACTTTATTAGGAATCACTCTCTTCATATGTTTGAAAAAGGAGCAAAATAAATTAAAGGATTCTACACTTGATCTTATTAATTTAAGCGAAGACCACTGTGACATATGGTTTAGACAATTCAAGAAAGTTTTGGCAGGTAAGTATTCTTTATGAGAATTTTTTAATGAGTCTAGTTTCCTTGGTGTAGATTATTAATCTAAACATGATATTTATGACTACAGTAACCCTTGATTATATTGAGGTAGTTTGCTTCTCTTCCTAGTTTGTTGAACTTTTTTTTTTTATCATGACATGCATGGTGTTGAATTTTGTCATATGCTTTTTCTATACCAATTGAAATGATCATATGGCTTTTTCCTTCATTCTGTTCAAGTGGTATGTTACATTGATTTTTGTATGTTGAATCATTCTTGCATTCCAGGAATAAATCCCAGTTGGTCATTGTATTTAGTCCTTTTAATATGTTATTGAATTTGGTCTGCTGGTATTTTTTTGAGAATTTTTACATCAATGTTCATAAGAGATGTATATCTTTTTTTTTTTCTCTTGTATCTTTTTCTGGTTTTGGTATCAGGTTAATACTGACCTCATAGAATGAGTTAGAAAGTAACTCTTGAATGACCACATCCATGAAGAAACTTTGATAATCTGAAATAACACAGTTCTTAAGTAATTTAGTTTATCTGAAAGTTGTTTTTGAAAGCATGTCTATTTTTTATTTACAATCTCCAGCTGATATTAGAACTTATTTTCCTTCCATCTAAACATTGACGGCAAATACATACATGTGCTGGGTAGCTTGAAAATAACAGTTTTTTGAAGATAACATTTTAGTTGTCTATTTCATGGTAGATTTTTTTCTAAAGGTAAATGTCCAGAGAACAAAGAATATACTTACTAAAATATTATCTCTTAATTAATTCAGTGTATCTGATATTTTTAAGTGGCATTTACATTTTACAAACTAAATAAAATGCAGGAAAACAGATACAATGCAATCTGGATTTCTAGAAAGAATCCAGTTAAAATAAAATCAAATTGAGTTTCAGGATTACTTTTTTTCCCCATAGATCTTGCTTGGTTTCTTTTGAGCCCATTTCTTCCTGTTTACTGGGTTGATCAGGGTAGAGGCAGCTGGTGCAGGTAAGGACACAGTTTTGGGTAAGATGACACAGGGCAGAGATGGGTGCCAGACAAAGAGAAGGCATGTGGTGGTGTCAGAAAGGTTTCAGACTGGGCAATATTGATTAAGACTGAGGGCCCAAATTGGCCAAGGGTGACCAACTGATGAGGATATCCAGATAGATGAGCTGAAGTGACCTATTAAAAGTAGGACACCCTGGTACTAAGTGACCCCATCCTTTCTTGTTAGCCCCCTTGGGAACTTCAAGGAGACTTGATTCAAGAAGGCAGGAAGCTATAGAGGCTGTAGTTTACTTCATCTCTCTGGAGACAGAGAATATATATATATTTAACTAAGAGCATTCTACCTTAATAGTGGGTCTTTTACAGTGTTTTACTTTAAATTCATGTGAGAAGAGATAAACAGCTGAAATAAAAATGAAAAAATTAGGTTAAATTGAATTCAATTTCCTTACATGGGCAAGACTCACGAGATTGCATGGTCTATAAAATAGAAATGAGTCATTTGATTAGGATAGGCAGAGTTCTTCCTTCCAGTGAGAATCTGAGGAAATCTCCCAGGGGGCTTATGAAGGGCTGGCTGAGTGACGGGAGAGGCAACTTCCTCAATATATTTCACCCATAAAACCAACAGTAAGCAGAGGACATCACAACAAAGCTCAATTTAGTAAAAGCAATTTTACAGGAGTAGAGGGATTAGGGCCCTCTCAAAAAAAAAAAAAGAGAAGAAAAGAAAAAGACACATAATATACACAACACAAAACAAAAACACTGTTAAATATCTTTTCAGCTTATTGAATTGTAGTTTGGTTTGATCTAGGATTAAAATCCAGGCAAATTACAAAGGTGAAAAACTACATATCTTTTGGGCTACCACTCTCTGGGAATGTTACTTTTTTTGTACCTTTGATTTAGATAAGAGGTAGTAAAATATATAAGGTCATATTCTCAGGCATGGTCCTGGAGAACAGAGTGATTTTGCTGATCATAGCAAATAGATTGACTTTTGAAATCAACCAGTGCAACCAAACAAAACAGGGTTGAAGCCACCCAGGAAAACTGAAGGAACCTAACCAAGGTGGTCTGAGGGACTGACAGGCTGCTCTGTCTTGCCAGCGTGGGCTCAGCAGGGTCCTGTAGGAAGAAACACTGCTCCTCACCCACATCCCCGCAGCAGCGGTTCTGGGTCTGTTCCCTCACGTACAAGTGCACAGTCAAGGCTGCAATGCTCCCTACCAAAGGCCCCCGCTTCTTGAGTAAGGTTACTGTCTTCTGACTTCTTTGTTTGATGTTCATTTCACATGCAAATCCTTGTAACCCACGCGTTCATTAAGGTGCTTATCCTTCCAAAAGTATTTTTCAAGTCGCCACCCCAGGAATTTGTGTTTGAAGGAGGCTTCAGTTCGAGGGTGATACATAGACGTCTACATTACAAAAATATAAATGCTATGCTTGAATAGTAGACATCTCTGCGTTTAAGTCCAAATACCTTGCTTTTAACTGATTCTGTAGCAAAATGAGCAGACTGAAGAACATAACTCTGCATTGATTTATTTTGAATGTTGTCTTGAATCAGCAAATGAATCGTTTCTCTGCTAGCCTTTTACTTGTTTTTCCTTTCTTTCTTCTAAGACAAACGTGAAGAAGATGTTAGAAATCTCCAAAATAGTTGGTCCTTTAGTCTAACAATCATAATTTAAGTATATTTGGCAATTGAGTTTAAATGTGCACATTTATATTTTGAACTGGAGCATTGAATACGCTGTGATGAATTTTTGAGGAAAGAACAAACTGGAACCACCAGGAAGAAGAGGGCAACTCAGATCCTTGAAGACTCAGACGTTGGCAAAGAGTGACCAGATTAAAATGAGTTTGTAAATATAAAAAGGCATCTTAGAACTGTTTTTTTTTAATTTGAAAAGAAGTCCTTTGGAGTCCAATTTTTTAACACAGTTGAGCACAGTATCTTTTTTATTCTTAGTAATAGAAAAGTCACCATAACTTTATTAACTGATAAGCAATGTAGGTTAATTCATCTAACACATGTTTTGTATTAGGCACTGTGCAAAGTCCTGGGAATACAAAAATGAATGGTTGTAATCCTGTATATAGAACACTCTTGCCCTGGGAAACGGACAAGAAAATTTGTATTATGATTGTGTTAAAGGCCACCAAAGAACATATGAACAGACAAATAAGGATTATAACTATTGGTCATTGATTCGAGAGTTCAAATCTTTTGAAAATGTAATTAAGGCTGTTATATAGTCACTGATAAGCCTAACATGTAGTTATTGTGATGAAAGGCATTCGATAGTCTTTTCTGCTTCTTTTAAATACCTATGGTACAAAGATAAATATGCACAACCTTCAAATAATAACATGTAGACCCCAGATGTTTTTATTCAATTCTATTTTATTCTGCATATTTGGGTTTCCTAGAAGTGGTGAATTACAAACTTCTTTAGACCCTAAACCAACCTTTTCTCTAGAAACTATAACCTCTACTTTAAAGCACACTCACAGGCTTTCTGACAGGTGCCCTACACAGGAAGACAAAACAAAGTACCCCTCCGGTGAAGCTCAGGACCGCTCACAACTGAAAGATTTTACAGGAGTAGAGCTGGTTGATCTCCAGTGGAGGACTTAACAGAAGGCTGTGGAAGTGGAGAAGGAAATAAAAAACAAAAGCAAAGAGCCTAATGCCCAAATAACTTTGAGAATGGTAACAACATCAACAGATATGGTGAAATCCGAGTGCTGGTTAATCTGAAGGAAATATGTTCTATTCTGGACACATTTGGGATATATTTCAATATCCTCTGGAGATTTTTAACAGGCTGGCATCATGAGAGGAATACATTAAGAGGTGAAGAAAGGCTGATAAGATGGGAAAGATGAAAGTTTGCAAGGAAATAGTAGAGTTAGAAAAGAAAAGCAGAGGCCTACATACAGAATCTTGGGGGATCCTCATATTTTAAAATAGGAAGAGAAGACAAAAGCCGGAGCAAAAATATGAAAGGAATGGTAAAAAGAATAACAAAAAACCTCTTCTAGCAATGGACTGTTGAATTGTGTTGTCACATTTAGGTCTGCTAATTCATTTGGAATATTTAATAATTACCCAGAGACAATTTAGCAAAGGCATTTTAAGCACACATTTGGTTGAGTTACTTCTGATACCATATTTTTCACTTCTAAATGCTAATTTCATGAAGTAGGCAAATAAAAATGAGCCATATTTACATAATGCATTTTGCCCTTGTAATTTAGCCCGCTCTCTACTCCACCAGTCTCACTCAGTTTTCTGCTATGAAAAAATAAAGAAAATGGAAAAATTATTTAAATACTTGTTTTCATTCCTAAGAAGAATCATTTTTCCTTGTTTCTCACTGGCTATCAAATCTGTCTTCCATGTCATAATGTTGGTCTTCATAGATGCTTTCCTTGATAGCAAAAACCAGGGCTTTTTAAAACATTGATTTTGTTTAATTATTTTCTGGTATAAGAGAATCATGGTGGAGTGTCTTTGGGTTTTTTTTATCCAAGCTACATTACTAATTATTACCATGAATCAGGCAAAATTTTTCTTAACAGGAGAACAGAATAATGTGAAATTGTACTTGGATATGCTGTCAAATATTGTACTTACAAGGAAAAATAAATTGGAAAGCATCATTATAATTATTTAAAAATGAACAATTCTATGTCAAAAGTATGATAGCTTCAGATGGTTATACACTATTTGAGTTGGCGACACTTGTTTCCTTAGGGACAAGTTATTTTCTACAAGGACAGTGTGTCTGAAATAGTTTCTCTTTTGAAACCCTGAAAGAGCAATTTAAGATTTTTTATAAGCTTAGTTGAGTTGTACATTAAAACTGTATTTGTCACTTGTGAATGTTTTAACTTTCACAATGTATTAAAATAATGTAGGAACTGATTAAATATGTTTTATCTCATTTACAACCTCAAAGTCCAATCCCATTTGAA